TGTAGCTAAAGTATTAAATTTCAAATACCATTAATTTCATATCACAGGTGACGCGGGCTTCCGTATATTTAAAGCCCACCCAAGTTAACAATTCTGACAGAATAATTGTTACAGTCCTATGGGACCAGCTTTTCAAATTTACCATTTAATCTACTTTACGTTGTACGTGGCAGCTTCCAATATCAACAATGTTTTATCAAAACCTCAATGTTTATTCAGCCCATATTAGAACACTGCAACACCACAGTTATTTACTGTCTCCCGAGTTATTGGGAAACCAGATTTGTAATTGCCTATTACAGCGTATAACGCTGGGTTGGTGTGGCTTGTTAGTCTGTGTATATATCTGTTAGTGTCGTTTATGTGTGGGTTTCGAATACGAAGGCAACATGCAGCACCATTAATGAAGTTTGTTTGACAAACCTCATGCGCACTGCGTAAGCAATACGCTAATAACGAGGTTATGACGTAGACACATCTCATAAATATTATTTTAAAGTGCTATTTTTAATAGAAAGCATTTATTATGAAACGCCGGAATCACGTATATTCGGTCTTGACCTCCCACTATGTCTATTGTGGTTATTTGAAGACTGTACACGCTTTCTATCATAGTAAACTGGGCACCAGTGTCTCCGCTTTTTACACCGACCAACGGCGCGAGCGATTGTATATAGCGCCACCAGTGGCTGTTCCGGCTACACGCATCTAGTTTATATTACTCTTTTTCCCTCGAGGCATGCCTGTACACATTTAAAATTTAGACGACAATATACTAGTATCTATAACAAAACAGAATTATTTTATACGAATTAAAAGGCCAATGAGTTTTGTACCCAAAATTAAAAACAAAAAGTGGTTTATATAAACAAAATGTGAATGTCGCCAAAATGAAGACGACTTTATATTATTGTTTGTGTGTTACAATAAGTCGAGTCAGTTGTCAAATATGCCATGTCATTATCACACCAAATAATTGGGATGAATGTTTAGAGGATACCTAAGCTGCAACTGTGTTTATACCTTTATTTCCGAGGGGCAGACAGCTGCAATTATATTAGCTCATGTGTGTTTACACCTTTATTTCAGAGGGGAAGACAGCTGCATTTGTATTAGCTCATGTGTGTTTAT